ATAAAGCAAAATAAATTAAAGTAAAGTAAAATAAAATAAATTAAAATAAAGTAAAATAAAGCAAAATAAATTAAAGTAAATAAAGTAAAGTAGATTAGAGTATAGTTAAGTATGGTAATGTAGAGGCAAACGTGAATTTGAGTTAAAGCAAGTGAATTGAAGTGAAATAGAATGGAATGAGCCACTCTAATAATGTGTCATGATATACCATCGACGCGAAGCTTCAGCTCGCCCAGGTTCCATAAGGGCCGGCAGCCTGATTCGGCTCTGTGATTGCTGTGGTTCGAGTTGAGGAATTCGACGAAGGAGTCATCTCTATTCGCCACTGACCTCAATGCCTCGATGCTTCGATGCTTCGATGCCCCGATGAGATCAAGTGAAGTGCTTCTGAGCAAACTTGTTCTCTTCCAGCCATCCCGACGGATTCCCAGAAAGGAGGCCGGATAACAATTCATATATAAACCGTCCTACTGACAAGGCATTCAATAGAGATGTAGTACTGGGTTGCAAAGGAGTCTATCAGTAGAGGGAATATTTGATAATATTATTAAAAGGTGATCAACACTTACTGATGGCCACATATTTGTCCTGTTGATGTGCCACAACTATGCAAATCAACTAAACAATCGATGTCTGTCGTGCCGCGACAGTCATACATTCCCTGCAGCCAAGTTCGACCAACGCGAGAGTGTGGAGCAAGCGTAGCACACAGACAGAGACACACAAACACATACATATACACACTTGCACGGGAAAAAGTGTATACAATGAAAAGTTGAAAAAATACTCTTGCATAGGCGTCTTGGACTCGAGTTCCGTTAAAAGGGCGCTGACCGTAGAGGCGAAATGAAAACTTCCGTAATCTCGACTCGATGCCAGGCTCTGGAAGCCTAGGCCAGAGTGAAGTAAGCCGATAAAGTGAAGGAGGGCGGGCAGTACACTTCGATCCGTGGTGGAGCTGACTAGCAAGTGAGGGAAGAGGCTCATATTTAATGCCAAACAAGCCACACTGTCTAGACTGGCATACAGTCGTTGCACCGGTGACTTAGAAGCATGGGTCCGATTCCCCACCATCAAAGGAGCGGAGTGACCCAAGTAGAGTGAGGTAGCTAGATAGCTAGCGATAAATGGATATATAAATATAAATACAAATATAAATATATATACATATATATCAATGGATGGGTGAATAGATAGATTGAGAGGTAGATACATATAGGGAGAGCTAAGTAGATCGATAAATGGGTAATAAATTGATGGGTAATTGGATAGCTAGATGATTAGATGTATATATATATATATATATATTATATATATATATAGTGATATATGGATAGACGGTGTTAATGAGCTAGAGTATATGTATGCTACCGAAGGCCTGAGTAACTGTGATGCTGGCGACCTAAACGATGTGGAAACATAATGGAATGGGGAAAATAAGTAAAGTTTGGCAGGCAACCGAATGAAATAACACGGCAAAGATTTTCGCCGTGGCCATGTCTCTAGGACAGACAGAGAACTATGGCAACTCTTCAGCGTGGCACCAATGGGTCTTTGAAAGTTTTCAACTGTCTCTGCTTTTTTCGAATTAAGTATTGTTGTTGTGACTAGCAGTAAATCAATAATATGAGATGTATTCACCCAATTTCGTTTAAGGTGATGAAGGACTGGTGGGAGAATATTCCCACAATGATATGAGTTGAGCTGACGTTTCAATTGAATTTCACATAGCCTTGCTTTACCCTTTTGACCCTCAGCGGGAGTTGGCGAGTTTGTGAGTTCGTCAGTTCTTCAGTTAGTCAATTTGTTAGTAAGTCAGTTAGTCAGTTGGTCATTTAGTCAGTCATTCAGTCAGTTAATCATTTAGTCAGTTCATCAGTTAGTTAGTTAGTCAGTTCGTCATTGAGTCAGTCAATCAGTCAGTTAGTCAGTTAGTCAGTTCATCAGTTAGTCAATTTGTTAGTAAGTCAGTTAGTCAGGTGGTCATTTAGTCAGACAATCAGTCAGTTAATCATTTAGTCAGTTCATCAGTTAGTTAGTTAGTCAGTTCCTCAGTTAGTCAAATTGTGAGTAAGTCAGTTAGTTAGTTGGTCATTTTGTCAGTCATTCAGTCAGTTAATCATTTACTCAGTTCATCAGTTAATTAGTTAGTCAGTTCCTCAGATAGTCAATTTGTTAGTAAGTCAGTTAGTCAGTTGGTCATTTTGTCAGTCATTCAGTCAGTTAATCATTTAGTCAGTTCATCAGTTAGTTAGTTAGTCACTTCCTCAGTTAGTCAACTTGTTAGTAAGTCAGTTAGTCAGATGGTCATTTAGTCAGTAATTCAGTCACTTAATCATTTAGTCAGATCATCAGTAAGTTAGTTAGTCAGTTCCTCAGTTAGTCAATTTGTTAGTAAGTCAGTTTGTCAGTTGGTCATTTAGTCAGTCATTCAGTCAGTTAATCATTTAGTCAGTTCATCAGTTAATTAGTTAGTCAGTTCCTCAATTAGTCAATTTGTTAGTAAGTCAGTTAGTCAGTTGTTCATTTAGTCAGTCATTCAGTCAGTTAATCATTTAGTCAGTTCATCAGTTAGTTAGTTAGTCAGTTCCTCAGTTAGTCAATTTGTTAGTAAGTCAGTTATTCAGTTGGTCATTTAGTCAGTCATTCAGTCAGTTAATCATTTAGTCAGTTCATCAGTTAGTTAGTTAGTCAGTTCCTCAGTTAGTCAATTTGTTAGTAAGTCGGTTAGTTATTTGGTAATTTAGTCAGTCATTCAGTCAGTTAATAATTTAGTCAGTTCATCAGTTAGTTAATTAGTCAGTTCCTCAGTTAGTCAATTTGTTAGAAATTCAGATATTCAGTTGGTCATTTAGTCAGTCATTCAGTCAGTTAACATTTAGTCAGTCCATCAGTTAGTTAGTTAGTCAGTTACTCAGTTAGTCAATTTGTTAGAAAGTCAGTAAGTCAGTTGGTCATTTAGTCAGTCATTCAGTCAGTTAATCATTTAGTCAGTTTATCAGTTAGTTAGTTAGTCAGTTCCTCAGTTAGTCAATTTGTTAGTAAGTCGGTTAGTCAGTTGGTCATT